CATCACCCCTGACAGCAGGCCTCCTTCCTGAGGGCAGAGCTTAGGGCTGAGACCCCCAGGTGTCCTCTCACCTGCCACCACCAGCTCCAGTATGTCACTGGGGTCTGACCATCCAGCAGGGGTGTGATAGTTACAGTGATATCCCATTGCATAGTGCTCTGTCATATAGTCAATGTTGAACCTGGCCTTGTTCGGAGGATCCAGTGGTTTCTGTTTGTCCCAGAACATTCCCTGTGCACGCAGTAGGTATTCCTGGGCATCCAGTGTCCCCTGACACCAGATGGTCACGGGGCTTCCCTGGGTTATCACAGAGTCTGGTTCAGCCCAGATGATGGGTTTGGGGAGGGTTCCTGTTAGGAAATCAGAGGCTGGGTCCCAAGACACCTCCTACCCCTCAGATCCCAGATTTCAGCCCAGGACCCTCCAGATGTTCCCCTCAGTCATCCCAGGGCTGCTGTTCCCCATCCTCAGCTGACCAGGGGTGTCTCCTTGTCCCTAGTGAGGAGAAGGGACCTGGGAGAGGTGGGGACAGACTCACCTGCCTGCACGTGGGTCCTGAGGCTCAGACTTAGCCCTGGAAGAGAGTTCTCTGTGAGAGATTTGTCCCCTGAAGGCTGAGCATGTCCTCTGCCTCACAGGAGCCTCCTGAGCCCCTGGGGTCTCCTGATAGAACAGGGCCTGGCTGTGGGGTGGGCCCTTCCCTCCCATCTCAGCTCTCCCTCCCAGCCCAGACCAGGGTTTCCTCTGCCCCTCCTCATATCTCACCGAGGCAGAGCAGGGCTGTGAGGGTGGAGGGCATGGCTGCACACTCAGATGGATGAGACTAGGGTGCCCTCAGGACTGGCACAAAGGGTGTGGCCACTCGGAGACTGGAGGCTTCCTGTCATGGGACAGTCACATGAGCAGCCCCACAGGAAAGGGGAGCTGCCCTCTCCAGGAGTCTGGTTTTCATTTCCCAGGGCCAGGGCTAGGGCAGGCTACAAGCTATCTGGGGACATTTAAGACAGAAATGGGTCTCCTGAACCCTGGCTATTGTCTTCTGGTCTTAACTCCTTCCTGTCCAAGCAGCAACACAAAATAATTGAATTGTACAAAGTTCCTTATCATGGAAATACCTCACTGACCAAGTAGAGTCAAACTCTGAGTTTGCAGAGCTTACATCATCATAACAGAGATTTCCAATGTGGTAGCTTCCTATTGCTACTCTGACAAATTACTACAAACTTAGAGGCTTAAGATGACACAGATTTATTATCTAACAGTTCTGGAGGTTAGAGGTCCAAAATGCATCCCCCTGCATTGTCACTGCATTGTCATCTGGGCTGTGTCCCTTCTGGAGGCTCCAGGACAGAAGTGAGTCCCTTCTCTCACCTTCTCCAGTGTCTACAGGTTGTCTGCTTCCCTGACTTCCCACCCCTCTGTCCTCAGAGCCAGCAATCATGATCCCAACATTTACTTGTATCTTTTCTTCTCTCACTCTCTCCCTCTTCCATTTATAAGACTCCCTGTGATTACATCAGGCCCAGCTGAATAATCCAAGATGATTTTCTGGTCCCAGGGTCCTTAACTTAGTCACATCTACAAAGTCCCTTTTGCCAACAAAGGTACCACAGTCATAGATTCTGAGGATCAGGATGTGGACATCTTTGGGAGGTCATCATTCTGCTACCACGTGTCTTCACACAGTCCGTTAGGCAAAACTTGTATAAACAACTTCTGTTTGATGACGGGGCTGGAAGAGTTGGATGCTTCGTTGGTCAGTCCACACACAGTTCATGACAGGCAGCTCACATCACAGGGTAACCTGCCTGTTCCACCCGAGTGTTTAGTCTCTACTGAAGCCCCATAGCAGTCTAGGAGCTGTGGCATTAATTGAGAACCACGTCTGCAGAAATAGCACAATGAGACTTCAGAATCTTAAATGTCTCTATATCCAATTTATCTATGGCTTCCTGCCTAATGCTCTGTAGGAACCCTATTTGCTTCAGATGCTGCAAACACCATTGTATCCATTGGTAATAGGGCTCAGGGTATCTGCTGCCTAGACTCATTTGCCAAGACTTCTTTCATTCTGGACCCTACTCAAAACCCAGCCTTGCAAGGTACTTAATAATTGGGTTGAGGTAACATATCCAAGGAGGTATATCTCCAGATTTAAAGAGGCCCATAGGCTTTTCAGTTTTCTCTAATGAGGAAGAGGTCAGGTGGAGCGACTTGTCTTCACTTTGAATGAACTACCTCAGCATGCCTCAGGCAAGTGGACTCCAAGGAATTTTACTAAGACAGCAAAAACCTGAATTTGGAGGATGATTTATTCTGAAACACATAGTCTCACAGACTGTCTCCAGTATTTGCTACTTCTTGTTGAACAGGCCCACTCAGTGCATTGTCAATGTAAAGGGCCTCCCGCTGTGCAATGGAGAGGTGATCACGGTCCCTGCACACCAGTGGACAGAGGGCTGCAGATTAGCACAGACCTGAAGGAGGACAGTGGAGATGTGTTGCTGACTCTGGGCCTTTACAAGTAGACATGGAGAAGACACACTTTTCCCAGATCAGCAGCTGCACACAAGTGCCAGGGGATGTGTGGATTTTCTCTATTTTTTAATATTTATTTATTTATTTATTTATATTTTTGAGACAGAGTCTTAGTATGTCACCTGCCGTAGAATGCTCACAGCACCCTCAAATTCTTGGTTTTAAGCCATTCTCTTGCCTCAGCCTCCCAAGTAGCTGGAATTACAGGCACCTGCCACAACGCCCAGCTATTTGAGGTTGTAATTGTCATTGTTATTCGGCAGGCCCAGGCTGGATTCAAACCCGCCAGCTCCAGTGTATGTGGTTGGAGCCCTAGCCACTGAGCTACAGGCACTGAGCCTGGATTTTCTATAGTAATGAAGCCTCAGAAGGAAGTTGAGTCTTTTCGGCTGAAATTGAAATCTCCATCTTATTTAGAAGAATCTACTGCCATTCTCTAAAATCTGTCTGTTTAATACACAAGTCAAATAGGGGAATGGAATAAGCACGTAGAAGTCCTGATGGAGTTACTTTCTCCACAATGTAGAATTACTGTGGTTTCACTATTTGGTGAGGGGGAGGCTTTCCCAGTGCCTTCCACCATAGTATCTCTTACTCCATGAGTTGAAAACCAGCCCCAGTTTCTAGGGACATCTTTATTCCTTGAGGATCCAGAACTAATAAAGCAATTGCAGGTGAGTTCAGAGACACAAGATGTGGATCACCAGATCTCCATTAAGTCTCCACACCAATTGCCCAACTCCAGGTTCCCTAAAGTTTCCAAGGCTTCCATGAGTGATAGGTTATTTCATTAAATGGTAAGGTCAACATTTAATGTTTTGGTAAAGAAAAAAAGGATGAAACATGTTACTATGTTAGAAATAGAGAAGATATAAAGTATCTAGGACTTTCTAGGAAGTGGCTAATCCTACATTGGAAACTTATTTTATGTTGTTTCCAACACATTCAATGTCCATTTGTGTCTAAATAAATAAATCTTTCCATTGGGGAAGGACGTGTACTTCACAATTTGTCATATGGGTTTTGTAGACAAACAGAAGAAATGAAGCAAATAAAATATCTCATTAAATTACAAGCCTTTGTAATTATCTTTACAATTATCTTTTTCAGTACTTAATCAAATCACCATTATCCCTCACACTATGCTCCACCATGTAAAAAACAATATGTGAACACCTTACATAAGAAATAAATATATTATTAATAATAAATGATGAGGCCAGGCAAAGTGGCTCATGCCTGTAATCCCAGCACTTGGGAGCCTGAGGGGGGTGGATTGTCTGAGCTCACAGGTTTGAGACGAGCCTGAGCCGGAGCGAGACCCCGTCTCTAAAAAATAGCCAGGCATTGTGGTGGGCTCCTGTAGTCCCACCTACTTGGAAGGCTGACACAAGAGGATCACCTGAACCCAAGGGTTTGAAGTTGCTGGGAGCTAAGCTCTACTAGGTTGCTGGTAGAGCTGGCGTCTTAGCTCTATCAAGGGTGACCAAGTGAGACTCTGTTTCAAAAAAGAAATGATGGTTAATCTATTAACTGATTATCAATGTTTAATTTAAGAATACTTATTAATTAATAGTAAATTAATAGTACATCAATGATGAGATTTCTTTAAGGAAACAAAATTAGTAGCAAAATAATTCATTAACTAATTTGTCACCAAGGCTAATTTAAAGATATTCAGTAATGAATAATAAATAGACAACATAGCCATGAGGAGACTAATGAGGAGGGTGCATTTCTAGTGGTAAACTTATAACGTCTTCCTTAGATTGTCACTGATGCTTAGTTTAAAAATCATTATAAGTATGTGACAAATTAAGAACATACCAGTGACAAAACTAGTTAGGAAAAACTATGACAGTGAAATTGAGGGCTTATTCTAAATGTAACAAA